TTGTGCCGGATTGTGTCATTCGATGCGAATGCCTTCCTTTTTCGCTTGCGGGACATACATGTTGGACAATGCTTTGCAGGATGCGCTTGAATGAAATCAGTTCTCAAACACAGACCGTCGGATGCCCCATGGTGCTAAAAAGAGTGGACGTCCGATGTGCAGCTCTTGTGATTGTAGTTTCTGTATGTCCATGTTTTATGTTGCTGCAAGTAGAGTAAACATGCATGAGATAAGAGATTCTTGCTGGAGGCAAGGATAAGGGCTCTCTTCTTCAAGTGGAGCAGAATGTCATTAAGGTGGGCCAGGGCGAGCCTCAGATTGCTTGCGATGTTTCTGATCCTTTGAGGTTCCAGTGGGCTATGATGCGCAGAGGCCTCGCCTTCGATAGCTGTCATATGATTTCGTGGGAAGTCCACCAGAAATGGGTTCAGAAGATGCTGGATTGTTTGTCAATGACTCCTCCGCCGGGTTACTCAGCAGTGACCTTGAATCAATGCATGAGGGCAGACAAGGAGCTTTTCTTGTTGCTTGCGAGGGAGGCTTCGCCGCCTTTCAAGGTTGACTCTCTTGGAGTCTCGCCCTTGGATGCAAAGTTCAGTGCGCTGATCTATGATGTCAGGCTGCAGCAATACTTGTTGCATATGCAGAAAGCCACGTCTGTGATTCCAACTGTTTCGGTGTCGGAGGATTTGTCAGGTGAGCCTGACAAAGCGGCCGCAAAGGCTAAAGCTAAAGTGAAGGCGAAGGCCAAAGCCAAGTCGCGTGTCCGTCGGACTGTGCCTGACGAGCTCAAGGGGTTCACGTGCAGGACCGAGGACGGGAATGTGTGCTGGGATTTTAACCTAGCTTGTGGATGTTCCCTTAAGACCGAGAAGGTGAAGGGAGGCGTGTGGAAGTGCCAGAGGGGACTTCACATCTGTGCAAAGTGCCACAAGCCAGGCCACTCTGCAGTGTCGTGCAGGGCGGGGAAGGCTCAGGAGTGACTCTCGACGTCGCCTCATGCTGAGCAAGGTTTCACTTCTGCAGTCGCCAGTGTGGACTGTGGCCATAGCACAGCAGCCACTGGTGGGCAGGGCAGTGGGAAGTTGGACGGTGGTGCATCGTGCATGCCGATACCTCCTATGCCGACAATATCGAATAAGACCGCCTTTCTTAAGGAAAAGTTGGTTCTCGCCAAGAGGAAAGCTGCCTCTGAGCTTTCTTGTGCTGTCGAGCCGGGGCTTAGGCCTCGCCCAGCTCCACGCTGGAGGTGCAAAGTGTTTCTCACCCGGTTGATAGCTTGGGTTCTAGTCCCCCTGCCCTAGTGCCGTGTTTCAGGGACCCCGAAGCCCTCGCGCGATACCTGCTTGAGCATCAGGTCTGTCTAACTGCCGAGTCAGCTCTGAACTTGATTGAGCTCCTCCCGAAAGCTGCTGAGGAGCCTTTGAGACACGCTCAAAGCGGGCCTGGCAGACGCTTCAGCTTTGGAGTCTACAAGCACGGGGGTATTATAGGGGTGCATCGTAACACTAATGTGTTCCCGAGTACGTGCAAAGCCTTGAACCAGTTGTTGCATCAGGTCTGTCCGAGCTTCAAGTACAGTCCCTGGCAGTGCATGTCGATGTAAAATCAGGCCTTCATCGCGACGCTCAAAATCGAGAAGGACCAAATCTTATAGTGCCTTTGTCCCGCTTCTCGGGTGGTGAACTTTGGGTTCAGTCCTCGGAGGGTGTCGAAACTTCTGAGAGTGATCCTTCGCTGACAGGTAAGTTGATTCCCATTGCTGATGGGCCGGCTTTCCTCATGGACCCTTCTGTGCCTCATGAGACGCGTCATTGGACAGGGACTCGAGTGGTCCTCATTGCATATTCTGTTTTTGGAGGCGAAAGGTTGGCATCTGACATGTCAGAGGTGATCGAACCTTTGGGCTTTTCGACTGCTCCTCTGGGTTTAGGCCCCTTTTCGGTTTCTTTGGACCCTAGGCCGCCGCCTCCTATAGGACAGCCCCCAGCCGAGGTTTCCAGAGAGGTGCCCAAGTCCGTGAGTGACATGTTCTTCATTGAAATTACTTCTGGGTCAGCGGAAGTGACTAAGGCAGCCGCTGTTATGGGTTTCAGGCCTTTTGCGGTTAGTGTCGCAAGACCGCGTGGACGCCGTGAACCAGTTGTTGCTATGGATCTCACAGACCCTTTGCAAGTTGAATCGTTGATTGATTTCTTGAGAGCGGAGTACAACCATGTTGCATGTGTGTTGATCTCGCCGCCGGCCGGTACAGCGAGCATGCTGCGTGAAAGATCTTTCCCATCTTTGGAGAGTCAAAGATTGAAACTCCCGCAGCAGCTTCGCTCGGCTCAGTTCCCGGATGGTTTGCCACACTTGTCTGGGCGAGATAAGCTGTGCGTCGAGCGTGCAAACCAGTTGTTTCAGCAGTTGGCTTTAGTCGCTTGTGAATCTTCGGATCTTGGAATCATGACAGTGATTGAGAATCCTGCAAACAGCCGTTACTGGGAGACCTCCTTTTTTGAGTCAGTCGAGGCTCATGTCAGTGGGCATGTTGTCACCTTTCACTCGTGTGTTCATGGTGGCTACCGACCCAAACTTGTGAAGCTATGGGCGAATCAGGATTCCTTTTCCAGCCTTACAGGCCGGTGTGATGGTTCCCATCGGCACAAACCGTGGATACCTGTCTTCTCCAAGAAACGGAGAGTGAGCTTTGCCACGGCTGATGAACCTTTCTTCCCGCCTTTGCTTGTGGAGCGTTTCCTGCATTGTGTCGTTCGAGGTTCCCCTGAGTTGGACCTCGGCCCCAAGGTGCTTGCTGAAGCCGTCGCACAGCCTTCCGTCGCAGCCACAGGTCGTCTTCGGCTAGGTCTTCAGCCAAGAGGAAATGCATTGCCTCAGATTGTCTGGGAGTTCGATGAAACTCTTGATTTCATTGTGCCGGTACAATCCTCGAGCCCTCTTGATGAAGCCCTCGCGGACCTTCCTAAAGGGGCTCGCGTGTTCTCGAGGCAGCTTTGTCAGTGGGGGAGCTTGCAGTGCCTCTTGGATCGTGAATCGAGACAAAAACCTACGATTGTGGGAATCCAGCTTGATAATCCTCCCGAGGTCGCCGAGCTTGTGCAAGTTGGGATTCCATGTTCGGAGGAAGTTTTCGTTGAGAGAGCGGCTGCTGCGGGGCATCCAAGGTCATTGACCTGTCATGTCGAGCCTGTTGTTTCTGCATGCGCGAAAGCGAACTTTGAGGAGCCTGCAGCAGACCTGGCGTCTTTTCGTATTTCTTCTATGAAATATTGGATTGGTCGTGCAGAGGCTCTAAAGCATAAAGAGCAGCAGTTGCATGCAGATCTTCCAGAGCATTTGCGGCCCATCTTGAAAGGCAAGAGGCTCTTGCTCCTTAGGGAGATGATGGAGGCCGCAGGGTGCGAGGACGGGGCTCTGGTGGATCACATCTGCCAGGGATTCCGGCTGTCTGGTTGGCTTCCTGCTTCAGGTGAGTTTGTTGCAAGGTCCCGCAGGCCCAAGTTCAGTGTTCATACCCTTGGGGTTCTTTCCAAGGGTCTGAATAAGGCTACTCTTGAGAAGCTGGCTCGCAGAACTGACGAGCAACTGGAGGCTGATACTTGGGACGCAGAAGGAACTCGATGCCGGGTGGGTCTGGCTAGACGAGGGCCCTTTGCCTGAGGGAGTCGTCATAGCTATGCGTTTTGGGATCATGCAAAACAAGTTGAGAGTGATCGATGATCTCTCCTGTTGTGGCTTGAATGCTACGGTGGGATTGTTGGAGAAATTCTGTTTGCATACCATTGACAAGCTTGCTTCGATGATGGCTTATGCTTTCGATGTCGTCAAGGGTCCCATGCCTGAATGCGTAGGACGAACATTCGACCTGAAATCAGCTTATAAGCAATTCGGTGTGTGTGCCGAAGATCGTGCCCGGTTCAGGATTGCAGTCAACAAACCAGGGCGTTCTTCCCCGGCGATCTTTGGGGTAAACGCTTTACCCTTTGGAGGGGTAGGATCCGTTGCCGCTTTCCTTCGAATCAGCATTGCGTTGTGGCGCATCGGAACAGTACTTTTCAAGTTGTTCTGGTCGGCCTACTTTGACGACTACAGCGTAATCTCATCAAAGCAACTGGGTGCCAATGCCCAGTGGACTGTTGAGAACCTGTTTGACCTTCTGGGTTTCAGATTTGCGAAGTCTGGATCCAAGGCCGCCCCTTTTGGCACTACCTTCGAGATGTTGGGCTTGTGCGTCGACCTCACTAAGGTGCAACATCGCGTGATGAAGGTGGGACACACCTCGAAGCGGAAAGACGAGCTTCATAGATACCTCCAGGAGATCTTGAGCAAGGGCTCCTTGGACTCTAAGGCGGCGGAACGCTTAAGAGGTAGGATGGTGTTTGTTGAAGGCTTCTCTTTCGGTAGAGTGTCTAATCGTGCCCAGCGCATCATCGGCAGATGCGCTGAAAAACCTGTGGCGACGACCTTGTCAGAAGATCTGCAGTCGGCCTTGAGGTGGCTGGACTCGCGAGTGTGCGAGAGTGAGCCTCTGTCAATCGACAGGAACATGATTAGGACTGTTCTAGTTTTCACTGATGGTGCTTGCAATCCCGAAGAGGGCACAGGTGGTGTTGGGGGCGTTCTAGTGAGCGCTTCTGGCAGAGTCTGCGAGTTCTTCGGTGAAGCAGTGCCTAGCTCGTTGATGGATAAGCTTTTGAGCTTCAGCGAGAATCCAATCTTCGAACTGGAATTGATTCCTCTCTTGATTTGCCTTAAGATTTGGGTGCCACTCTTGAAGGGATCGCAAGTTGTTTTTTACTTGGACAACGATGGTGCAAGACATTCCATGATCCGAACTTATGGTGGCAGTTCTTTTGCGGAGAAGGTGATAGAAACTTTCCTCCTTCTCGAGAATGCTCTCGAGTTGAAGACGTGGTTCTCTCGAGTTCCGACTTCAAGCAACATAGCGGACAATCCGTCCCGGCTAGTGTTTCAGCCTCTTTTAAAAAGAGGTGCTGCAAGGCGTGCTGTGCCCTGGGATTGTCTCCTTCCGTGAGCAAGTGGGGTATTGGCAGACGGCACGGAGTGTGGCATCCCGAGTTGAAAAGAGAGCGGTACGGATTGAGAGCTTTCCATGTATATTCAGATAATTTCATAGGAATTATATTTGATTCCGGTGTGCAACTAAAGGATAAGAGTTTACTCCTTTAAACCTCTTGAGGCAGAAAGGATGAACTCCTTATTCTGTTTTGCACAAATTTCATGTTCTTTGAACTGAAATTAGGAATCATGATTTGAAGTTTTCCGAGCTTGAGAAGTCGTGGCTTTGCCGATGTGTCTCATCTCAAGACGGGCGCGGGGGAAAACTTCTCCCACCCACCCTCCCTCATTTGTGGCCTACCCCTTAGCCGTCTATTGGCAGACGGCACGGAGTGTGGCATCCCGAGTTGAAAAGAGAGCGGTACGGATTGAGAGCTTTCCATTTATATTCAGATAATTTCATAGGAATTATATTTGATTCCGGTGTGCAACTAAAGGATAATAAGGACTTATCAATCACGATTGAATGTTGTCTTATTCTTTTTCCCAAAATCAAGCATGTACCACAACATCGAGTATAAAATTCGCATGTTGGAAAACATCATTAAAGCGTAATGTAT